TGAATTGCTGTATTCAAAATTTATATGTCACCTTTTGGTAGATAATAACATTTAAGTACATGAATGGTGACATGTCCGGGATCCGTACTCTCAGTATGGACCCAATACATACATACATAAAAGCTGTTTCACTTTGGAGATTCTTTAGTCAGTCCATGAATATAAATCGGAATAATTGCACAATATCGACACTTATTGAATTGTTGCATTGGCTCCGTCACATTTGCGAGGCTCTTTCACATTGCCGATGGCGTCAGCACCGTGTCGATGGCTCGATCACATTTGAACAAATTTTTACCCAAGCTCTATGAAATCACTCAGTATGTGCAATGTGGAAAACTTAATCCGGGTAAATCTTGAACACAGTACAACAGTAAAAGGCCAAACAAACATAAAAATATGTTAAATAAGCACACGCTCGGTGAAAAACAAAACCCTATCCATATGTGACTTTATTATCTATTATTGATATATGTGCCATAACTATGGCTAGGTAGTTCCGTTGATGAGGTGTGTATCAGTGCACTTGTACTTACTGGCTACAAAATGAAACATGTCCCACGTGTTGGTAGGCGAGGTGGTGGTGTAGCTATCATCCATAAAGCTTCTATACAAGTCACCACTGAGTCGTCAAGTCAAAGCAAGGAATTCTCACAGTTTAAGTTCATGGACTGTAATGTAGTTATTTGATGGTACATTGTACTTTATGAGGCTAGCGGTAATAATATACAGACCATCTCCTTCCAAACAGAACGGCTTGAATACAAACACTTTCCTTGATCATGAATGCCCCCTTTTCTTAACTAAGTACGCTACAGTTGACAATTCTGCAATCGTAGTAGGCGATCTGAACCTTCATCTAGACATACCAGATAACAACGATACGAGAAAGTTTACAAGTAACCTTGATGCATGTGGTATGCATCAGCATGTACAAGAACCCACCCATGTTGCAGGTCATACATTGGACGTAGTGATATCAAGGGAAACAGACAACATTGTATCAAACAGAGAGATCGTATATCCTGGACTCTCTGATTCTATTGCAAATATATTACGTGACCATTTTGCTGTTACATTTGCTTACAATAGACCATCAGATCTACAGAACACAGTGTTCTAGTGTGAACAAGATGTTAAAACAAGCTCGTGTAGAATACTATACAAGTAAAATAGAGTCTTGTGGCAATGATCATCAAAGTCTATCTAAGATTACCAAAGGTTTACTTGGAGATATAAATAAAGCGATTCTACCATCTGATTCACCTTTAGAGCGCATTGCCCAGAATTCAGTGACTTCTTTATTGGAAAGATTGAAACAATAAGGAATAACATACGTTCTCAAACACAATCGGTACCTGATAATGTAGATATGGAATCTGAATATACGGGTGTCAAATGTACTGAATTTGCTCAATCACAGAACAAGAAGTGAAAGCATTGGTTAAAAAGTCAGCAACCAAATCCTGTGAGTTAGATCCCATTCCAACATGGCTGTTAAAAGAATGCCTAGATGAACTAACCCCAGTGATAACCAGTTTCATAAACGTGTCCTTGGATGCCGCTTATGTATCAAAAATATTCAAACACTCACGAATAAGACTACTTCTAAAGAAACCAAATCTAGATCCTAACGAACTGAAAAACTATAGGCGTTTGTGTAACTTGCCATTTCTGTCTAAAATCTTGGGAAAGGTCGTTGACGTACCAATTGAGAGCCATCTGAAAACAAACAATCTACACGAGGTCAACCAATATGCTTATCGCAAGTTCCATTCGCCCGAGACTGCATTGTTAAAAGTTTAAAATGACATTCTACAGTCTTTGGATAATAACAACGATACAATTGATCACGGAACGCTCCTTTGCCGCCTTGAACGACACTTTGGAATTTTAGGCAAGCCTTTAGCGTGGATGACGTCATACCTGACCGACCGATACCAGACTGTATGCATAAACAGCAAACTCTCACAGCCAGTCAACATGGAGTACAGTGTACCGCAAGGGTCTGTCCTGGGACCCAAGAGCTATGTGATGTATACAAAATCTGCCGTAAACATGAAATAAACAACCATTTCTTCGCAGATGACTCACAACTCTTTCTATCCTTCAAACCAGTGACTAGCATTTCAATACAATATAAACCGTATTGAAAGATGTCTTAATGATATTGTAAGTTGGATGAATGTCAACATGCTGAAGCTAAACGGCGACAAAACAGAGTTGATAATCTTCTCATCTGAACATCTTTTTCTTGACTCGAACATGAAGATAGAATAACATGTAAATAATGTCTGTAGGAACTGTTATGCACAATAAAGAAAAATTGGTCACATCAGACCCTATCTTACTGTTAAAGCAACCAAATCTTTAGTAAATTCACTTGTTACCTCTAGGTTAGACTACTGTAATACACTGTTATATTGAGTCCCTAAGCAGTCAATGACCAAGTTACAACATGTTCATAATAAAGCAGCTAGAATTGTGACCAAAACACTCAAATATGACCATATAACACCTATCTTACGTGAACTTCACTGCCTCCGGAAGAGTATCGGGTCGAATATAAAATTTTGACTTATACATATAAATCCATCATCGATCAGTCACCAGCCTGTATAAAAGACATGATAGACGTGTACACTACAGCCTAGAAACTGAGGTCCCAGAATAACTCAGTGACATAAGTTGTGCCTAAATCTCGGACAGTACGATATGGTGACAGTTGCTTCCAGACAGCCGCAGCGAAATTATGGAATGCGTTACCACCTGGCATTAGAGACTATAATAACTTGCCAAGTTTTAAGAGAGCTCTCAAAACACATTATTTCATAAAGTTCTATTGACGTTAGTTTCATAAAACAACATATATGTACTTTTTTGGCTACATTACCAGTGAAAATTGTGTCTTCGATTTTGTGCCTTAGGGTTTTACTTTATAATTGATTTCTTTTTTTTACTTTTGTTTGTTCCTTTTTTAACAATCTTATTTCGTTCAAATCTTTTATAGGATTTTTTTTTGTTAAATTGATCCTTGATTTTAAACTAAATGTGTTTGTATTTCTTACCAGCCTTTACTGGTTTTAGATTATCATTATTGTTTAAAATGTTTACTTAATTAATTTTGTACCTTATGTCATATATATGATTATGTTTTATCAGATTTATGTAACGCACTCTTGAACATTTATTATTTATGAAAAGAGTGCTGTAGAAATGTGGTATATAATAATAATAATAATAATAATTATAATAATGATGATTAAAAAATAACGATAATAATAAAATTTTGTGTTGAGCCAAAGGCTAGGTTATGATCATAATTGGGCACACAAGTTAATATTTGGTAAAAGTTCTAGCAACGTCATTTTGGGGTACTTCGTAAACTATTCTACGTGGCATAGCATTCTTCGATGTTTAAAAAATAAGCATATTTAAAAAAAAACGGATATTTTTACAAACTATGTTTTCCTGTTTCTACTTTGTTATGGTCGATTGCTCTACAACGGAAGTGTCGAGGGCTCTCATTTAAACAGATTACCAAAATGTGTTAGCAGGTGCGTAATAACCTTTTCATTTATTAAATGCAGTTTTAAGCTGCTCTTCAAATTTCAATGTTGACGTGTATAATAGTTTGAATAATAATAATCATAAATACCTTCCGTTTATAAATTTGTTAATACCTATAGAAATTCAAATTGGTCACATGCTTCGACATATTTGTATAATACAAAAGACTAGAAGCTTTATGATTTTTTTTTTAAAAAGAAGAATAGGAAGTGTTTCAGATGCAAATGTGCTCCAATTAATACAGTGAAGGAAATAAACCCTTTTCCTGTCCAAACTTATTGTTGGTTTTATACATGAAAGTAAGACACATTGAACATTGAAATAAATTAACTTTTTTTAATTTATATTTATAAGAGAAGACGGTATAAAAAAGATATATGCACAGTCTCGTTTTGTTCTTTATTTCCAGTATTCATCTCTAGCATAAGTGCATGTTATAAAAAACGTCCCATTTACATCTCTAAGTGTATAATTGAGCCGCGCCTAAGATTATAATTGAACTGCGCCATGACAAAACTAACGTAATGCGTTTGCGACCAGCATGGATCCAGACCAGCCTGCGTGATCAGGATCCATATTGGGCTTACAAACCCTATAACAAGTACAGAAACTGATAGCGAACAGCATGGATTCTGATCAGACTGCACGGCTGCGCAGGCTGGTCTGGATCCATGCTGATCGCAAACGAAATACGTTGGTTTTGTCATGGCGCGGCTCATATGTTAACTTAAGTCAAGAATCCAGGAACGCTACTATCTTTCTCAATGACACGGGTTATGTGCTGTTGTAAGATTTTTCGAAACCCTACTTTTATAAAATAATCCTTTGCTAAGTTACTTACTATCAGCAAATTCTATTTTCATTATCTAAAAATTTTTTTATAACACTTTAGGATGTCAAGAATGTCAAAAGAGGACGTGCAGACATTCCGATGTGAAAAAGTCGGCGTGTATGGTGGAACAAACAAAGGCCTTTACAGGCAGCCTGTTCCGAGCATCTCACGCACTGGATTGATGTGTTGGTGACATATCCGGAACATGTGCTTTAAGATACAGGCGCATTACTGTAAATATCAGACATAATGTACATAATATACTTTTACTAAAACTGTGAAGCACACATACGATATGTATATATATGTACAGTATTGGTCATATACCGCATGTTTTGAAGCCGAATACGGACGACTTCAATTGATATGCATTTATAACAAAACAATTTATTCATATGTTTTATTGCATTTAGAACCAAATGAAAAATGTATATTATGCAAGCATACAAGTAAAGCTATTTTACTCTACTTAAACATTATTAGTTTAACTATCAATTTATCTGAAAATGCGTCCTTAATGTGGCTTTGGAAAGTATTTCTTCACCTGTCTGTCTTGTATGGGTGTATTTATAACAATGACATATTTTGTTTCAATGGGGATATATGTATGAATTGATATGTGCATTTTGTGATATGTTACACCCGTATCGAGATTTTAATCGTTTATCATTTTAAACTGGAACACGTGTTCTTACAAGGAAATAAAGTTACAAAAGGAAGTTATTTCATCGGAGTTTGAAAAAGATTGGTCCACCAGTATGAAAAAGAAAAATATTTTAGTATTGAAAACAATGAAATGTAATTCATTGGCTGTTTTTGGTTTTCTTATTTTTAATATTTTGGGCCCATTTTAAAAGTTGTCAATAGCGACTACGGATTTAGACTGTGTCGCATTAGGTATGTCCTTATTCCAGTTTTATTTCATTATCATAAATCAAATTAAATCTATAACAGCAATATTCATTTTAAAAAACGATCACATTCGTTTGAAATTTAAATGTCATGAATTAAACGTTTCGTTCTTCACTCATTATCAACACATTAAATTAAAGTATAAACATAATAAAAATGAATTCAATACTGTTATTTATGGTGGATGATTTATGTCTTGCCTATTTTCGCTCCACGGGGTGCCAGGCGACACAATAATACGACAAATTCAACATTTATCGTACATCCGCTCCGCGGGGTGCGAGGCAAAAATAGATGTGACTTTGTCGTATTCTCGTGATTATCATTTTAACTCCGTGGAGCGAAAATACGACGAAGTGATGACTCTGTCATATTTTCGTGTTTTCGCCTTTCCGTCCTGCGGAGCGAAAGTACGTCAAAATTTTGACTTTGACGTATTTCCGCCTTTTCGCCCCACGGAGCGAAAGTACGACATGGCACAAATCAGCCACCATAGTTATTATTGCAAAAGCTGCAACGGGTAGAATTTCATAATTGTTGCTGTATTTATTATTATTATTGTTGTTGTTGTTGTTGTTGTTGTTGTTGTTGTTGTTGTCGTTGTTGTTGTTGTTGTTGTTGTTGTTCTTCTTCTTCTTCTTCTTCTTCTTCTTCTTCTTCTTCTTTCTTCTTTCTTCTTCTTCTTCTTCTTCTTCTTCTTCTTCTTTTTATTATTATTATTATTATTATATTATTATTATTATTATTATTATTATTATTTATTATTATTATTATTATTTATTATTATAAGTATTATTATTATTATTATCATCATTATTATTATTACTTTATTTCACTAAGGTCAATGTACAGATAAAATATCATTATGGTTGTCGACATGTTTATCACAAAAATGTTTTCTTTTCTTATTTTTAGTAGATTGTTTACTGATTCCAGTGCTTATACGTTACTGGTACACCAATGGGGTCCCATGAAATGCAAGCATTCCAGAACAAAACTAGTACTCTTGGTGAGTAATTTATTTTGTTTATTTTATTTAAAGTCTGAATTACCAATGCATTTCAATATAAGTATCTATCTATTCCAACATGTTAACATACATATATAAATGATACGATACATGCATCGGATAAGCGTCAGAAAACCATAAATTAACCAACAATTGGATTGGTACAATCGCATCTTCTCGGCCCTTTCCGTCAAAATTCGGATTATGAATAATAGCCGAGTCAGAAGTTCGATACACATCTACTTAAAATTCACATAACTATTACAACAACAAAACTGTGGAAGCATTAAAAAGGTCGGTGCAGTTCAGGGTTTTTAAACATTGTTGCCGTTGGGAAGGGATTTGAACTTCGCAGAAGATACTCGCACATCTGATTAAGCGACTTTATACGCAGACTACACTGAAATCAAAAAATCAAATATTATACTTTTTTAAATGTTCAATTACTCGGACGGTAGCTTACATTTATCACTTCATTTCATGGATACGCGCAACTTAAGCGAGTTTGCAACATTTTTCAGCCACAGATATTTTTGTTTTACAACCTTTTAAGTTTTAACGATTAAAAATCAAAGATACTTTTAAAAGCACATCCTCCCCCAGAAATCCACATTTTTGTAATTCTTTAAGAATGTTAAACATGTGTTTAGAATGTTTTTTTTAATAATTAATTCAGAGCATGTTATATGTTTAACAACTAAAGAAAGTAGTATTGAACGTACAGTAATGTGTCATAAAGGTGGCAGAATGTAAACAAAATAGTATTTTGACTTCGGTACAAAATACTAATTCACTATATCTGAGGCCCAGATAGAAGATCGGGAAACCGAATTTGCTGGTCTCATTAAATGAAGTCGTTACTTACCTTACCTTATCTTACCTTACATGACCTGACCTTACCTCACCTACCTTACCTGACCTTACCTTACTTTGCCTTGCCTTGCCTTGCCTTGCCTTACCTTAACTTACCTTACCTTACCTTACCTTATTATAATAATGTAGCAGCAATTATTTTTGGAACTGTCATATTGGAGGTGGAATTTTAACACTGAGACAATGATTGAACTGTGTCACACAAGTTTCGTGCAATTTAACCAGCTCAGTTGCATAAACATCTAAACGCTAAATTCAATAAAAAAAACATACGTGTATAACCATCGATGAAAAAGCAAATTTTCTTTGGATTTTCAAATTGAAATTGTATTTGCATTTGATATAAGGATATATTTCCATTATTCAAGGTGTTCCAGTTCGCGGACACAATGTTCCAGTTCGCGGACACAATACTGGACCTCGACTAAGCCCAACTGATAATGATTCTGGGCACGGGAAAGGTAACTTTGTTACGAATTACTAGCTATATAATTTTTTTTCGAAATAAACATTATTGCAGTGTTTGCAGTACCGTACTAATTGTTTATGTTTTACGTCACCATTAGTCACCTTAATATTGGCAAGATAATATGACGGCATTCCAGTTTAACTGATTAACCTTTTACCCCATGAGCATATTGTGGAAAATGGCCGTTTTCATTGAAAAGCCTCCTGTTACAAGTTCCACCTGCTATAAAACTTTTAGCCTGTCACATGTCAAAGACTTTCTTGGCGATGAGGGGGACAACCGCCCCCTTAACCCCCCCCCAAACAGAAGGGGGCACATCCCCCTTCTGGCAACCCCCTGATGTATCATTTTGATGGGGGCCGCGCCGAAAAAAAGGTCACTTTTTTAACAACATTTCTCAAACGAAAAACAGTGTTGGGGGCCTAAATAGGGCATTTTTTCACTGTTTGAGGCCTCAAAAAGGGGGGGGGACAAAAAGCCGTCAAAACACGCTTATATAACGGTAAAGGTTAACAAAAAATGATGAAAAACCTTGGAATTACCCAAAATCTAGATTTTCCATGTTAACACGTGGCCTTACACCTAATTTTGGTGAAAAATTGTTGTTTTGTGGCATTTTTATTTTTTTAATTAACCTTTTACCCCATGAGCATATTGTGAAAAATGGCCGTTTTCATTAAAAAGCCTCCTGTTACAAGTTCCAACTGCTATAAAACTATGAAAAATGCTTCAATACTGATGAAACTTGGCACATATGTTGACTGAACCATAACCTCTGTAACAACATGCTCAATCTTAAATTTCCTGTTACCATGGCAACGGGGGGACGTCTCAAAATTGCGAAAAATCACTATTTTGCATTGTTTTTTTCCATCAAAACTGATTTCAAAGTGCTGCAACTTCTCAATGCAATGAGATAGAGTAAAAGGCTTTTCAGCGTTGGTTACACGTCACCTTAAGATCGACCTGAGGCCATTTTTAGCCTGTCACATGTCCAAAATTTTCTTGGCGATGAGGGGGACTACCGCCCCCTTAACCCCCCCCCCCCAAACAGAAGGGGGCACATCCCCCTTCTGGCAACCCTCTGATGTATTATTTTGATTGGGGGCCGCGCCGAAAAAAGGTCACTTTTTTAACAACATTTCTCAAACGAAAAACAGTGTTTGGGGCCTAAATAGAGGATTTTTTCACTGTTTGAGGCCACCAAAGGGGGGGGGGACAAAAAAAACGTCAAAACACGCTTATATAAGGGAAAAGGTTAAACGACTGAGATTGGTGGTAGGGTACTTCCATTTTCAGCATATTCCCTTCTTCTGCAGTTTTCTCAATCAAATTTCTGTTCATTCGTAAGGTCAATTCGTATGTTGTGTTTTTTCCTTTCAAGTTAGCTAGACATATTTAGTTTCAAACGTTTTATAAACATATAAAATATTGAAAACTGCGAAAAAATAATATGATGTAGTTTTACAGTAGTAAATTCAATGTTTCTCACTTTGTCATATGCCGTGTTCTAACTAAGGTGTCCATTTTTGGTGGCATTTGATACTTTGTCCACACAGAAAAGCCGAAAAGTCATCATTTCGTGTAACTCTGTCGGTAGGTTTTGAATTACATGTAGTTTATTTATTTATTTATTTATTTATTTATTTATTTATTTATTTATTTATTTATGTTTCTTGCTTGTTAGACTAAGTATTTTCAAACACCTAAACATAGATATACAATGTTACTAAATATGATATTTAAAGTTTTAAAATCACACTCATTTGAGCCGCGTCACGACAAAACCAACATAGTGCGTTTGCGACCAGCATTGATCCAGACCAGCCTGCGCATCCGCCCAGTCTAATCAGGATCCATGCTGTTCGCTATCAGTTTCTCTACTCGTAATAGGGTTGGTAAGCGAACAGCATGGATCCTAATCAGACTGCGCAGGCTGGTCTGGATCTATGCTGGTCGCAAACACATTATGTTGGTTTTGTCATGACATGGCTCATTTCTTGTACTCAACAATTCAAAATTTAGTGCAATGATATGCGCTGGGGGCCAAAAGATTTTAAATGTGTACCCCAAGGTACCCGGGAATTTAAAAAAAGCTCGCCACTAAAAAAATCTAAAAGCTAAAAATTTAATTCGTAAATTAAAAAAAAAACCGTGGGATGAAGAAGAAAAAGCAAAATTTCTTTTTAGATTTTAAAATTTAAAATTTTATTTGCATTTTGATTTAAAGGTATTTTTTTTTATTTTAAAGGGGTTTCCCAAATTCGGGGGACGCAAAGGGTTTAAGATCGGGGATTAAACCCAACCTAAAAAAAGCTTAAATATGATTTTTCTGTGAAAAGGGTAAATTTTAAAGAAATTTCCCAGTTCCCTTTAAATTTTTTTTTTTTTTAAATAAAAATTATTGCGTGTTTCAATTTCTGTACTAAAAGTTTATTTTTAAATCACCTTTTTCATTGTAAAGGTCATGACAACCTTTTCCCGTTAAAAAACCCCCCATTTTAAATTTCCCCCAAGGAATTGGTGGTGGCCGGGCTTCATTTTCGGATTGACCATTCCCCTTTTTTTTTCTGTTTTTTAAAATCAATTTAGTTGTTTTTCCTTTTTTAGTTGTGGAAAAGTTTGTTTTTAAAAGGTTTGTTAGCTTTTTATTGAAAAGGTTTAAAAAAAACATAACAAAAATTTTCTAGATTGTTTCCCGGTTTTTTTTAATTTTTGAAAATGCAAAAACTCCAGAGTTCTTACTAAGGTGTCCCGAAATTTGGTGGCTATTTGATACTTTTTCCCCCATAGAAAAGTCGGGAAAAAACCATCAATTTTTCGTTAATTTGTCAAAAGTTTTGAAAATTAAAATGAAGTTTATTTTGTTTTTTAATTTATGTTTCTTTTCTTTTTTATTTTTCCAACCCTTTACGGGATTTGTATATTCCCAAAAAATGTTTAAATTTTTGTAACTTTACTAATTAAATCAAAAACCCCACCTTTTTTCACAATCTCGAGTTAAAATAAAGTTTTTGGTCATACCTTTAAATTTTTATTTAAAATGGCTTGTTTTATTTGGTTTAAAAAAAGTCGTCTTTTTTGTGAGCATTTTACAAAATTATTAAAAATTGTGATTTTGTTTTAGTTTGGGCCCTGAACCGAAGCCCGGGAAAAAAAAAGAGGATTAAAGGGCCCGGAGGCGATCCAGGATGAGAGCCAAAAACATACGCTTTTCAAATTTTTGAAAAATAACTGTTCTTTTCCATATTATTTTTGATTTTTCTTTAATTTTCCCTTTTTTTCGTTTTTTAAGAATTTTTGTTTTTTATGGGTGGGAAAAAGCTATTTGGTTTTAGAAAACGTACAAACAATGTCATGACATAGTGACTAGTGACTGCCGGGGGTTAGTTGGTACAAAGGAAGAAAAAATAAACTTGTTTTAAATGTAATTTCTCACGTTCAGTAATGTAATCACTCCATCGTTATCATACCATACTGTTTTAGCATGATATAACGCGGAGATTATACTGTAAAAATGTCAGCTTTTGTCTTCTTTTCTATATATTTTGTTTATTTTTTTCTCTTTTCTTTTATTCTTTTTATCTCATGTTATATTACTTTTCAGATAATAAGGAAACAAGATGGTTGCGGAATTTGTTGAAGTTTTATCTTTACAGCCCAGTTAAATTACAGGGCGACTCGTGCTCAATCCATATTGTTTATTCGATCTTACTTCTCATGCATATTGTAAAGATAATGTTGATTACATCACAGGTATGGGCTATTAGAATACATCGTTATAAAATACATTGTTTTAAACCTCTATCCCTAAATTCGGTACTCGTCGTTTATTATTTAATTGGGTGTCCCGTATACTTCCCCTCTCTTTCCCTTTTCCTTTTTCCCCTTGTTTTTGGGTCATTTCACGGGTGGGGAATCTTTTTTTCCCCCCCATTTGACTTTTTTCAAAATTTCAAAGGAAAAAGAAACAACCACTTTTAGTAAAAATTAACGAAAAAATTTTACTAAAAGTCCCTTTTGGGAAAAATAGGAAAAATGCTTTTTTCCGTCTCCTGGAAAAAAGATTTCCCAAAAGTCCCTTTTTTTTGGCATCCCCCTGTCTGCACCCCAAAAACTGTATCAAAGTGGGGAAAATCATGTAAATACTGTAATTGTATAACGACATGATGGTACTGATAAATATCTACATTGTTTGTTTGGTTGGTTGGTTGGTTGGTTGGTTGGTTGGTTGGTTTGACGGTGAAGGTCATATGGCACCGAAACAGCATAGATGAGTTTGGCTAATCTCGGATGTTACAAAGTTAAAGCAACACCAGTGGTCAAAAGCACCTCACCTGCTGGAGCTAAGAGATACATACACTCCAGTAATTTGATCACATTAAGTCGCCTCTTACAGTCCAGTCACGTATGGATAACAGTGACTGCAGTTCTGATGCCTCAACACTTAAAAGCAACCCATCAGCCACAGTGGTAAACATATCTATACATTACAACTTAAAACACATGACAAACCCTAAAAAAAAAATCATTTTTCTCGAAAAAAATTGTCATGTGCCTAAAATAATTCCTATATATTTTATATGATTAATATAATGACGTGTATGTTTCATGTGTGACTTTTACATTTTTTCATTTCATGCTACTTTTTTTAGATGGTTTTTTTTTGGTTTATGATCATGGCAATTTTTTTGAAGTGGGAAAACCCTGGGAATTTTCCCTTAGGCATTTTCTTTAAAAACTGGGAAAGCATGTAAATTTTGAAATTTTATAATTTTGTTTATGTAAAATTGCTAAAGGGGAAAAAGTTGTTATGTAATAGTTTTTATAAGATGCTCACGATTAAACTTAACCATTTCAATGGGAAAAAGGTTCTTAAAAGCCCCGAGGCAAAATTTTTCGGGAAAGCCTGGGACAAAAAAGCCCCCCGTAGGCCCGGTTTCTGTCCCCCCTTGAAAACATTCGGTTTGAATTTCTTAAAAAAACATCATTTCCCAAATATCTCACATACCCCTTTTTGAAAAAAGACGCCCGAAAACCCCCCCTAAGGCTGACCCTTTACAACAAAGAAAAGAAAACATTGTGTTTCCCCAAAGGAAATAAAGTCCCAGAACGCCCGCGCAGCATAAGATCATGTCCTCCCTCTTAATGTGTATAAATATACGTATTGTCGTATGAATGAAAAACACCATTTTCCGGAAGCCATTGTCACCTACACGTTTGTTCAACTTAAATGCCAAGTGACTGTTGCAACAGACTTAAGAAGGATGTTTACATCAAATTATGGCACTTTATTAAGAAATAAGGTCTCAGAATGCACGCGTAGCATTGGCTCCTGTCTGCATTCTGAATGCTTATAATGTTTAAAAATTCACATTTTTACAAGTAAACTGTCTAGTGGCTTCTGCTTTGGTCCAAATACCCTGGAAACTTGTCAGGATATATGGACAAATCTTGTTAACACTCAAGAGAAAACATTTTCAGCTTAAATATCTTTAAAATAAGTCAAACACAACCGTCACCTTATGCTTCACAAAAAAGCAACATTTGCTAAAGAAAAAATGACTTAAAAGGCCTACGGAGCATAGTTTGTGATTGGCCTTGTGAATGCATATCAAATCTACGTATTTTCGGAAAAAATACACTTTTCCTGAATCTACCGTCGCCTTACACGTTTGTCCGGTTTCAAGCGGATGTTTACAGCATTGTATGGTGCATTTTCTCGCCCAAGAAATAAGTTCTTAGGAGGTCGCGTAGCATTGTCTCCAGTCCGCCACCTGACAACATATAATTAAACTATAAAAGTGTACGGATTTTTCGTTAAAATACACCTTTATCCTGAAACTACTGTCACTTACCCGTTTGTACAATTTCAATAAATGGAATGTGATGAAAATGTCCGAATAGATGGGGTACGGAACCAGGCAGTTGTGTTTTTTTTAAATCTAATTAAAAGATATACATAATCTACCTTCACAACTTGTATTGCTTTATTATCGATATCTTTACGAAATTGTAACTGTAAAAGTTTGTTTGTACCCCGAGATAAGACATAAACCCACATTTGCCGTGTTCCGGAGTATCAGACACGGGTCATCGATTGATGGAAACTTTACTTGATATAAGTGTTAATTTTTTTTTATTCTTTCACAAAAACCTTCAGCATGGGAAACTTTGGCGTATCCTCCAGCTCAGGGTGACTTTGCTGTTTACACTATAGACGATTTAGAGAGCGGAATCAATTTTGCAGTTAAAGGGGTAATAAAATGCTTTAAATATTTTACCTAAAAATTTAATACATTCCGATATATTTATAATGTAAGAAGTATCAAAGTAAGAGGTATCAAATAATTGTTTGCCTTAAAATTTAACACAAAAAGATTTAATTTAACACAAAAAATTTATCAATTTTATTTGGGGAAATTTTTTTTTCCAAAAAAATGTCAGAGGAAAGTTTAAACTGCCTTTGTTTCTCATTTAAACAAAAAAACAAAGTTTTTTTATTTTAAATTTGACCAGTTTCACAAAAGTTTACCCCCCTTGTTTTTCCTTTTAAAAATTTTTTTTTTCTTTTTTAAAAACCCTTTTTGAGTACCCAAACCCAAAAGCTATTTAAATTTGGGGAAATGACTTTTTTTATTTAAAACTTAAAAGATAATCTTTTTTTAAAATATGGAAATCCAATCTGAAAACATTTAGGAGCATCTTTAATATTTATAAAATTGAAACCCCCCTATCGATAATAACAAATCAGGGGAAAAAAAAATTTCCATTTTTAAAATTGAAAAAAAATGATTGTTTTAAAAAATTTTAAAACCCATTTCCTTTTTTTGGCCCCCAACAACACAAAACATATTTTAGAGGTTATTATTTTTATTATTTTTTTCAGGATTTCGTTAAAATTTGGCAATGTTTTAGTTGTGTCAAAACAAAGTTACAGAGCGTCCATTGATGTCACCGAGATTCTAGTTATTTTTCGGCCGTAATCTGTCTATGTTCACCTTTACTTCTTTTTTTATTTTCCAGTATTACAATGCGGAAGAGGACGCCATCGGTTACTTCCAGCGTACAACTAGTGACGTAATGGTAATACAAGTGAAATACTTTGATTTTCCTGGTTTCAAAGACGCTAATGTCACACAAGGTGTTATAATTCAAGGTGAAATAAATGTTTCTTGTATTTCTTCTGTTCTTATAGTTTTATTGTACTTTTAAGTCAACGATTTCAGGTTTAGTTTCTTCATTGCATCAACCATATTGTATTCCGTGATACGATATGAGGAAATATGGATTGTAAAAAACTGTTAAAGTTTACTTCAGTATTATTATATTTTTTTTTTTTTGGTGATTCGAAATCCTTGATTCCAGCACTTTTAAGTGTTGAAAATTGAATACCGTTCAAGGCGAGCGTGATGTATGTTTTTATTTTCATAATCCCTCATGTACAGACTCAATCAAACCGGGCCTGCAATTTTCATGTATTTTTGCTGTGATTAATGCTTCGGCAAGCCTCGCTCCTTTCTAGCCCATATCGGCCTCACCTGATAAAATTAATATCAAAAGACAGTAGCATGTTACTCTCTATTTATCAAAAATCCACTTGAAATAGTTTACAAATTTAGTCTATGTATCAAAACAAGACAACAACCACATAGTTCAGAACTAATAACATTTACAACAAATAGTAAATATGTGTAAGTTGATATCCATGTAAAATATGAAAACACATACGATTTTACGAATGTTAGATATCAGTAAAGGAATTTTATAGCCTATCATGGGCCTCGGATATTATTTCAGAAAGTATTCCTTACAATTATTTTTAGTAGATGGCATTATAATAATTAATTATATTTTGGATCTTAAAAATTTTATAGCATTTGTTTTGGGTTAAATGGTTTCTCAAAAGGACAAAATTTAAAGTTTAAACAAAGTATATTTTATTTTAAAACCTTAGGCAAAAAAACCCCAAAACTAAGACCCTCATGTATATTTAAAAATACTAAAAGACTTTCCTTGTTTGATATACCCAAATATTCTAATTTTTTTTTGTTTTATATAGTTATGTATAATGGTTATCTACCCTTTGATGTCGGTTATAAGTCGATTATGTAAATTTTCACAGTCGGTTTTTTTTTTCTGCAGATACGTTCATTCAAAATTTTTAAATTAATTTTGGGGTTTTTAGATTTTGTCAAAAAAAGCTGGCCCCCCTTTTAGATGTTACCCATTTTTTTTTTCGGTCTAAAAACCCAAATTTTCTTATTTTTCCTTTGGGCCCGAAAAAATGGTTTTCGTTATCAATTTTTTTTTCAAAAGAAAAATTAGCCATTTAAAATTTAGGGAAAAAAAATATAAAAACATGTTTGTATTGGAAAATATAAGTTTTCTTAAAATAGCGGGAAAAAATGAAAAAATGGGTTTAATACGAAAGACTTTTTTAAATAGCGAAGCTTTTATCATTACAGACAAAACATTTTCTGCCGATCCTGGCCTTCCGAAACAAAACCAGAAGCACGATTATGATATTATTAAAGAATTAATAGGCAATGGTTTGGAACAACCGATCAAACGGTAATTGTTCTCTATTATATAATTAGCACTATGCTTTTATAAAGATTGTGATTTTACTGTCTGTTATTCAGAAACCATTAATTGTGATATTATATTGGCAGTCCTCTATACTTAAGTTTTGTTGCTGTCATTATCAAATGTGTGCACTGAAACATGAAAGCTAACCATGTCTGATCTTTGAAATCATTTAAGAATGAATGACATCAATAAAAAACTCAAGATTATAATAATAATGCACCATCCCAAAAATAGCAACTTACTCTTCAGGATGTCCCAAATATAGGCAACCGATATGCGACAGCAAATATAAAAATGTAATAACGAGATATACCTATTTTAAACGTAATATGATTAATTGATTGATTGATTGATTGATTGATTGATTGATTGATTGATTGATTGATTGATTGATTGATTTATCGATTGTTTTATAACATGTTATTAAGTGCATGTATATTGCTTTGTTTGTAGAATGTTGTCGACAGAATTACGTTTTTCGATACATTCCGTACGGGTGTATGAGAAAGTGAGACTAGCACGATGTTTACGTGTTCAAGGCTGGGTATGAATTTGTATTCATTGAAAATATCTTAGTTGCGTAATATAGAAAAACAATTACTTTTCTACAATAAATTTTCCATAAATCCTTTTCATTTTAATGATTTTTGATCAATTTTTAACCCTTACCTTGCTTGATCAGAAAGTTAAAATCCTTTGCAAATAGAATACAGCTATATCAGCTTGTACACCAAGATCAATGATGTTCATCAAAAAATCTTGATATCCCAATAAATTGTATGTATTGTTCCGAAAATTGAAGTTAAACAAGTACATTAAGAAAACCAGCATGTTAAGGGTTAAATATATCAACATATTGTAATGCATTTGAATATGAACACAGTTACTTAGCCATACTGCATTCAAAAGCCTCGTTTACTTAGATTTTTCTGCGGTATTTTCTCTTGACCAGCCTAATACAAATCTGTAACAAGGGAAACCTCTCTAGAACAATGGAAACAAAAAGGAAAAGCTTAACGTTGCAGACTTTATGAAACTGAGGTTGTTGATGTCAGATAATTAATTGTGCCAAGATATCTCTAACCCCACCCCTGCACAAGCTTTTATTGTATTCAATATTCTACACTTAATGCGTTGAAAAGTAGAAGAAAAATATTAATGAAGTATTCCAGTGTAAATTTTACAGATGTCACACAGTATGTCATATCAGCTTTTTTTTTGGGGGGGGGGGTAAAAATCTTCCAAACGATCCATTTCGTCCTTTCATTTTCATTTTGTTATTTGATATATAAAATAATATTTCGGGTGAAAATGGATTAAACATTTATTATTCTATTAACAGGTGACATTCAACGACATGGACAACAATGGACAAGTTATTGTCAATTTGGAAACATTGACTAGAAGAATCAAATGTGAACATTTAAACATTACTATAAAAGGTAGTCTCAAAAAAAAAAGTAGTTCTGTATATGAATAAACACCATATTGTGAAATTGATAATTTTAAACAAGGTTTAAAAGTTAAACAAGAGCCTCCGCCAGTGTTCAGAGTTTTCCTAAATACATATAGACCTTTTCACGGCGCGGTCCGTTGCTGTAAAAAATCAACCGGATATATTATTTTCTACGTATGACAGGAGATCATCGCCCTATATAGAAATGTAGTAGAAGTTCATTTTTATTGTGAAGTCTTACTTTTGAAAGAATTGATACTGTTGTTATGAAATATTATTGCCCTACAGAGGATGGTCGTTACGCAGAGGTTGTACTTATTTTCTTACAGACATTAAAACATGTTATGATTTATTTACAGATTGGGCTTTGGAAAATACATCAGAATCACTGGGAGCAGTTCTGATTGTTTTCTGTTTATTGTCCTTGTTTGCATCTGTGGCAATCATATTATTAGCTGTGTATATTTTCATGGTAAGAAATATAACTAGTTTTTCAACCGTAAGTTGAAATTTGAGTGGAAATTTATATCACACAAAAAAGATAAAGAAAAAAGATTAACAAACTAGATTTACAATATTTCCAGTATTTTCTTTGCTCCTTTAGCAGACTTTTTAGTTGTTTTAACTTTTTATAGATTATTACGTCACATGCCCCTTCACGACAAGTGAGCAAACCGAGTGAAACCACCAAACCTTTTGTTCTATTCGAACAGACAACGATGGGTGACATGTGATTTTAATTAATTAAAATTTACCTATTTTAAACAAGTCTACGAGGAGTGTCATACATTCTCGACCGATTTAAAACCCATTATAAATACGCGGCAGGAATTGAAACTATCTTTCTCTTTATATCATTATTGTCATCTCCACTATTTTATAGAAAACTAAAAGCTACATGAAAGTTAATTATGTACGCTACTACAACCCAGTAGACCCAACTGAAAAAGATTTGCCAATGAGGGAGTATTGGAGGTTGGTCAATTTCTGGGAAATAGCAGTGTTAATATCAGATATTCTTACTCTATATGGAACCATTTGGATCGTGTTTGAAAATGAGGTAAGCTTTGACATGTAAAAAAAATCTTCCAAATGTTATCTGTTATGTTCTATGATTATACATATACTTCTGAAAAATATGCATTAATCGGATTATCTATAAGAACGAAGTTTGGCGGAAAGCGTCGAGAGATGCGATTGTAAACTTAAAGAAAATCTGTCATTGGGTAAATATGGCAAATGATATTTGATACATGGAGAAAACAATGCATTGGCTCTGTGTATTGTAGATATAAACCATGTAGCAATAAGAAAGATGTAAATAGGTCAGTTTTGTTATAATCATATGAAATATGTATGCCTATAAAGTTTGTTGTAACCCGTTTACATCATGCGATCTCCCAATATAAATCATTATTAGATTCTTATCTTTCAACTTGCGAAAAGCTATCAAATCACTATTGTATTATCCACACAGCCTCGTTTTCATTTGCATAGTCCAAAGCCTCATATAAATTGAATAACTATTCTACTCACCTAGCCTCGTATTCATTTGCCGAGTCCAGAAAAAGTTATGTTTGATCACTATTTTACTCCGACATCTTAGAAATCAAATCCCTATTGCACTAGAAGTAGCATAGGTGAGACCAGATGTCAAAATGTTAATGTGAAAAAGGATGAGTCATTTTACACTATTGAATACAATACTGATTCTATTGGAACCTACATACCGGCAAAACTCTTTTAAGTCTCGACTATCGCCTCGTCCAATATAGTTATGACAGCTGTGTACTCGTCCAATGGAATTCAGTATTGTACTCAACAATGTATACTCTATTAGCCTTTATGTATACAGTATAGTGTATGTGCTTGATATGCATTTGTAAAATATACGATATTTATGCTTAATGAATAGCCCTTTTTTTTATAAAATATGATAATTATAGATACCTGATACTTGATAAAGTGTACATTTTAACATAAGAAACATCATATTTTTATTTGTTTGGGTCGTCAGACCAAAAAAATAATGGTAGCGAAATTTCAGATCCTAATGTTCTTATTTGCAAATGCCGAAAGTAGTCCAAGCTCCTCAAAGCGGTTACTTCCCTTCATATGTACATAAATGCCGAAAAATTAAGGGGAGATCACTGCGTAAAGATTGTCAAATGACAGGCGTATTAATTTTCGTAACGAAAAAATAGTTCCCGATTGGTCGAAGATTTCTAATAATGTGTTATTCTTATAGATACAGCTCCATGAATATTTACTTTAGTATTAAACAACAGGTTTACAGTGAACAAAAAATATCGAAATTGATAAGGGTTACACACTGTAATTTAGAATAATATAGTATTCTTCATGCTGTTATATTATAACTCCCCGTGGTCGAGGGTTTAACACGCTCGCTTCGGAAGCGAGAGGTCTGGAGTTCAAATCCCAGTTCAGGTTTTTTTGTGTGTGTTTTTTTTTAAAGCCAAATAAACATTGAATTAATTATCAGTGTTGCAATTAGCCATATAGCCAATTTACTATAGCACCGGGAAACAGCATTGGTGACACTATACTAACAAATTGGTTTATAATTTCACAACCTTCACCTTTTTGACATTCTGAGACCCAAACAAATTCATCGCCTTCAGTACTTTGATTTATATAATGTAACGTATTTACGAAAATGATAAATTTTATAACATCATTGTTCGTTACAGCACAGTGAGTGGATAGTAGAAACGCTTGATTCCTACACAGTCTGGCTTGGTGTCGGCTGCATCTTTGCGTGGATAAGTCTTTTGCGTTTCTTCAAATTCCACAATAAATTCCATGTAAGTGATATGAATATTATGTTTTGTTTTACACCGTTTTGTAAAAAAAGTGGACTTTATACGCCTACGGAAACTGATGAGATCCCTGATCTGTCTAGATTGGCGGACACTAAGAATTTCACCACAACACATTTGTTAACAAGAGAGCACATGTCAATGTTTTTGGTTAAATACATGTATATTGTCATTCAAATTTAAGGTCACTGTAGGGATTTATCAACTAGATAGGTCGAATATAGTAAAACGTTGTCAATGTTTAGGATATTAGGATTTAGATAATTGGATAGTGTTGATTTTGAGGGGATATGTAAGCTATATAGCATTATCCTATTCAAGAAACAAATTCTATTGTGAGACAATAGTTTTCGTATTTCTTAATACCGACATTCTCACAATTATGTGTTATGACATTAATTTAGATATATTCTGTTTGCAGTTATTGTTCAGCACCTTATATAAAGCTTCCGGGAACGTGTTGGCGTATCTGCTATGTGTGACTGTTTTGTTTATAGGCTTCTGGATGGGTGGATTTGTCGTTCTTAGCCCTTATCATGTCAAAGTATGTGAGATCATTAAAATTAATTAAGGTAGTTAGTTGATCAAGACAGATTTTGATATATTTTTACACATCTGCATGATGTATGTCTTTCATGCATATCAAATAATGTATAGTCATGACTAAACAAGTTCCGTTTTGAAAGGCCAAAACAAAAAAATTAAAATTCTTACCAATATAAACTGGCCCATTAAGACTCAGAAATGCTTTTTAGTTTTATTACTAAAAAGCTTTTAAATTTTTGTGTTCTTTTATAGTATCCAAATATTAACTCATTGGCCAAATACCTGAACTTTTTCATCTGTTGCTTTTTAGCAATAAGTATAGTTAAAGTGCATTAGTATTTGGTATGGTATGGAAGTCAAAATACTACTTTGTTTACATTTTGCAACTTTTGTCAATTTCTTTTTATACATTTACCGCTACTTTCGTCAGATAACAAGCATCTCACATTCTCGTAAACCATTATTTAAACATTACAAAATTAATCTTTTCCCTTTATAAAGTATTAAAGTTTTATTTGTTTTGAGGCATAATGTGCCTTTTAATTAAAATTTGAAATTATTAGTCTGAACTGGGTAAAAAGCTGTAAAATGCTTTTCATTTGAGAGGCAATTTGCACAAAACGATTATTATTGAAGAAGAAATGTCTGATTTTGGACACATGCTATTGGCAAAGGTTTTCATCACATCATTGAAAAAATCTTTTTTTAAAAGCATATTCCCAGTCCCGTTATTAAACATAGTTAAATACTGCTACAGTTAGTTTGATGTTTAAAACCTAAGCTATTGATAATCGTTTAACTTTTCTCCCAGTTCAGGACACCGGAGACCGCTGCAGAAACATTATTTTCCATGGTTAACGGCGACGAAATCTTTACCACTCTAGCCATATTGGAAACACACAAAACTGGCGGGAAATGGGTTTGGTGGTTTTCGAGATTTTACTTTGGCGCTTACATTGCAATCTTCACAATCGTTGTCATTAACCTCCTTATCGCCATCTACATGAGCGCGTATGAAACCATAAGGGTAACACTGTTTCTTTTTGTACGACTGATGAATATAATTTTGCGAAGTTTGTTTGCTGTTTCAGTAAGCAAAACATGTATAAATCGACTGTTTGTAGGTCTTATTGCTCGTGAAAATTATTTTTAAGCAGATCTATTTCTTTTTAAATATTTTCTGATATTGTAAAAATGTTTTCACTTATGTTTCTTTTTACATTAGTATCTAATCTAAGAAAATAGATCTAATAATTTTTATTTTGTTGGTTACTCTTAGCTCAGTTATGTTATGCCCATATACATGTTTATCAAAGATACAGTATGATATAATTATAACTTTGAGAAACTTTTACGATTGCAATCATCCATATGATCAACATTTTCCTGCTTCAGAATTATTACAGGGAGACCCCGGAGGAACGAGATTTAGGACCAATGGAAAAAGCGTTGAGAAAGTATCTGAGCGAGCAAAAAGAACAACATAATCCGATTCGTGCGTCCATATATACTTTACTTACAGATAAGCGGCAATTTTCGAAAGCGGAAGGTTCTCTGCGAGAGGAGATGCAGAAGTTAGTTCGAGTGGCGAACGACAAGGTCATTCTGGTCAAACCAAGAACGCTGCGAGCGTTTATGAATGAAGAAGACGATACATCCACAGTCATAAAATGTGGTTGTTTTAATCTTTCATTCCTTACTTTCTTCAACAGGCAAAAATAATCCGTAAACTTTTTAAAAATTGGAAAATGCTCACTTAACAGAAAATTTGGTCTTCATATCAATTGCAATACATGTATTGGAGGCATTATGTTATAAAAAATGCAGAAAAATATCGACACTTATTAAGTGTTAACAATGTACTCTGTAAATTTAAAACTTTAAAAGTATGAATTTCAACCTAAGTTAAACAATATAATATGATAATAAAATGTAATCAAAAAAGTTTTTTGTTGATGTGTTAATCTAACAACGAATTTCTGCGTGCTTCGTTATAAACATCAGAATGAAAATCAAATTGATTGGAACCGTATATTTATAGTGTAAGGGATTTAACTATCAAAATACTGAAACTGAATTGCCCGTATGAAAGAGTTTGGTTAGACTGCATGGGAGGCTACTTCTCTCTTACCCTCGTTACATGAACGTCGTTAAGACGGCAGATGATTGAAGATCTACCGCTACGTCTAAGACGGCAAGTTCGCATGCTCTCAACAGCTCGGAGTTACGTTTATAAAAGGCGACACGACTTAGTTTGCCGGTGTCCTGCCGAGAGAAGTGGTCCTTAAATGTGGCATGGACGACCAGGAAATTGTGTTGTTGTGGATGAGCCCCTAGCACAGAGAGTGGTGTCTTGAAATGTAGTTCCTTTGCTCAAACAACCCTTTAAGGGTTACCTCTTTTTCATATTGTACATTTGCCTTGTGTGATTATTCAAAACATAAACTTATCCCATATTCATTCTCGAAAATTACAAAAACGAAGTGGTATCAAATATTTAAATGAGTGCTATAATGTATCCATAATTGACAAGTCATTAAAATCAGACTTTACTTCTGCTCTGTCATGTAGAGAAATTATCAGTTCCTGCGAACGTGAAAGCAACTATTAAACTGCTTGAGAGCCTGGCCAGGAACGATGCGGTGGCAGAACAGTGCTCCTCTGGAAATTCATTGGCTTGCTGCCGTGATTTGGAGTGAAAACTACCAACAACAACACACATGGGATATTAAAATTTCTCCCAACATATTTCGAAAAGTTTTCTGTAATAAAGCCCGTCAAGATGAATCAAGTATATGTTTTCTTCAGATCCATTTTATATTTGTGTGTGTGTGTGTGTCTTTTATTGGGGGGGGGGTGCTTTGATGTGCGCTTTAAATGTGTGTGAGAGGTAAGACATGCGCTTTAAATCACACCAGGTGATTATTTATCATTTTGGTTGAATCGCACTTGAAGTGTGTCTCAAAAATAGGAGTCCAATGCTCAATAACTCTTTGTCCAAGCTCTTTGCACAGACTTAACGTTTTTATTCTCAGTAACACAAATTGAAATGCCGAGCCAAATAGATATATAATGTTATCTGTGGCTGCATATTTATATAGAAACTGAAATATTCCTAATTTGCGATGCATATTATTTAGTTCTGTTGATGTAGGTCTTTGTATAATTTATTCTTTAAAAAAATGAGGATTTGACCCAACTTGATGATAACTATATAAGTGAATATGTTATATTATTATTTGTTTTATATTGTATGCTCTGTATAAGTTCTTATGCTAAGTGCACATTACTGTTAGAAGTTTCAAGATCTCATCTGGCACTAGCTTGTACAGTAACAGATTCACAGCTATTCTGTAATCTACCTGCGTAATTGTAGAGCAGTTTTCATGTTTATTGTCGATAGGGGTTATTGGAAAGCGGCGAACACAGAGCATAGCTCAAACAATGTCCTGCTACACAAGGTCACTGAAAAGGCACACTTGAGAGTACCGGATAGAAACTGTACGAACAAAACTGAAAAGAATATTAGGGCGGGAAAATGGCGGGGCAATGAAAATGGTAATACATATGTAGTTAGTGCATGTTTCGTTAGAAAAAGATTAGGTCCAACTAACTAGTAGTCAAGGACTGAACTTCTTGATCATGCTGGCATTTCGTATCATTAATAGGGAATATTATAAAAACAACTATGCAAATTCATCAACGAATACATAGGAAAATAATATCGAATTGCCTTCTCTTCTGTATTTCGTTTCAAATGGATTTTAAAATAAAAACAGTAAAAATATATGTAGTAAGTTGTATCTAGTTTTATTGTAATTAAATATTATTGGTAACATGAACATTTGATGTTTATCGAGCAATATCAAAACTGTACACTTTAAGCGCGGCGCAAGCTGTCCTGATTTCATGCGTCATGTGATCAATATGATGGTGACCTGTTTCCTGAATGTTTGTTGCTGAAGCCAACGCACTGAGAATTTTGGCCTTGAAAGGAAAAAGCAAAATATAAACATGTGTAGCAACGAAACGCGACACGTTCGTAAAAAATTCGGTCATTTCCGTTTTTATCGTGAGCTCTGTTGCTCTTGTATCTTAATGCTTCATCGGCTTATATAAAACGCTTGGTCATGATAACGCTTAATTTATATGATATTAAATGCGTCAACGCTTATGCTTGAACTATTTAAGACACATTTTATCATGTCTACATGTATTTGACGTATAGTATGTCAACGTTATAATATACACGTCATGCCAACGCTAAATTGATGTGTATGAGTCTATCGTGACACTGGTGTCTTGATATAAATAAGACAACACCCATCATGTTAACGCTTAAACGTGAACTATATAAAGCACACCTGATCATGTTAACGCTAATACATGAAATATATTAGACACACTTTGTCATATCAACGCTTACTTGACCTTTATAAGAATTCCTGGTCGTGTCAACGGTTGCTTAATTAACTGTATAAGACAGACTACTTATCTAACAAATGTTATAATGTTTATCTCGAGAGCTGGTCTGGCGGCATAATTTTGGGAATCCAGATAATCTTGATGATTCAAATGGACCTCGTAACAACCGTCTGTGCGCTCGATCATAGCCTTTTTCTGGAATGTGATCATTCAGATTGTTAAAATCAGTTAAGCCTGTCACCAAAAACAACACAGCTATTCTTTTTAAATAAATATCGCTGTTACTTGCGATTGGTTAAGGCTTTAAGTCGGTTTTACGCAGACAATTTTTATCGCTAACAAACATGTTTGAAACTTACATGGAAGAAACCTCATCTTTATATTTATGTCAACTATTTGCATTTTAAATATACAAACTTGAATTTAAACTTCAAAATCCGCGTACAAATATACATGTATATGTAATTTAGATATTAATATGTTACTGAACTTTTTTAACCCTACTCTAAAGTTGCAATGATCGCGGACAGACAACAAAGATATTTATTTAAGACTTGTCTTTGGAAACGTGTATATATTAACAAAAGAACCATGGTCACCCTGGACCGCTTACCTGAAAACTATTGCCAGAAATAGGTTTTATTCTTCCAGATATGAGTAGGTTATTGGCAAAAGTCGCACAACCCTATTGCTGGAAATAGTCGTAATTCTTCAAGATCTTAGTAATTATCAAAAGCCACATTACCGCTGGTCATTTTGACCCCAACTGCAATATTTATAAAAGTTTATTGAAGATCTACCAAGAGATGCAACATGAACGCTCCTGTTATTGTTGTTATAAAGATTCACTTCAGTTTCCTATACATGTAGTATGTAATTGACTATTGACTCGGGGCCAATCCATTTTGACCCTGTACACAACCACAAGGCTTCATTAAAATGTCGAAGCTATGGGTATTATAGTTTTGTAGTAGACAAAAGTCGTTTTTCCTTTATAAGTCTATACAAATTAAGTGACCCCAATTTTACACCAGGGGCATGATTTTATGAGATCCCGAGGTTTTAGGTCCTTTTTAGCTGGAACCGGTTATATAACTATTCAGGACAGTAATCCAGGGATCATTGCGGAGAAGTTTGACCTAAATTTATCAACGTTTGGCCTGGAGTGTTGTAATGATGAACTTATGGATAACGACGCAAGACGGGCCACAGGCAACATACAATCACAAGGCTCACGTCAATTGAACCGATAAAAAACAATGATATTTGACTATGGGAACACAATCCTCAAACTAGAACATAAAACAGATATTTACCAATTAAGAAGACATTGATCAATCAATATAAATAATGAAAAAGGTCAAAGAACATTACATGTTTGGCATCGTACAAAATTTTTGCCAACATAGTTGTAGCTGGTGGCATCGGCAACAGCAAAAATCTAAAACGAAAACAAATATAGAATTACTGGATTCAGCTAAATACATTAGGTATGACCATGTTAGTCTTTCACAACAGACAAATGTCGCACTGCTTGTGTTTCTAACCCAGAACATTATATTTCAAATAATTGTATAGTGTACATAATACTAAAATATTTCTGCAACCACCAAGTGCATTCTTGATTTTTAAGGGATGGATGCAATGGGTGTATTCGAACTTGTATTTCCTTAACTTGTAAAGTTGTAGAAATTCAAAATGAATGTCTTTCATATTTTCCAAGAAATCTCAGACACAAAAACAAAAACATATATAACCAACAAAACAAAATAACTAGTAAACAAAGATAACGCTTAAACTTAGCAAACCTTACCGCGGTAGCAAGGAAAACAGTTGTAAGAATCAAGACTGCTGTCATAACCTTGTTCGCCTGATCTCTGACATCTTACCTCTTTTATACTGAGTTTTTAATCTACTTCTGATGACCTCTGTCACAAAAATACAACGATGTTCTTCCATGGCTCTCTTATCTTTATAGACGTTTATCTATCACTTACTTTTATAGAATGATGCAAGTTCCTTTCTTTGGCGGTGTTTCTAGTTGAAATCATCTCTTATGTAATGATAATATATATGATAATATATAGTTCATAACGAAAACTGTAACAAAATACTCCAGCTGTATTGAATGTAACAAAATGATGTAAAATACGTATATATATGCATGATCTGTCATTGAAATGAAGAAGATCTGTAACATAATATATATAGCGTAGTACAATTTTCAAACATAACACATACGTTAACGGCAACAACAACAAACGTCACTGGTAATTGACGGAAATCAAAATTCACTTAAAGCCTGGAACCGTAATTGATAAGCCTTCGCCAATGGTATAGGCCCAGGTCAGCCTTCACATCCGTGTAGTCTGAACAGGCACTATACTGAGGGTAGCTCAATTTTTGTATTTTGCTTTTAAAAACCCTAAAACCGATGAATGGAATGTTGCAAGGATGGAAAAGTCCAAGAAAATGGTTGAGCTTAACTGTGAACATTTTATGCGTTTAACGATTTAT